CAAAATCGTGAAATTTGGTTAATCCGGATCAGTCCGAAAATCAAAACAAATGATTAAACTCAATTATCTCAAAATGAGTTATATTGACGCGACTTGTTCCACCATTTGTGTTCCGGAAGGAACGTGACTATCTGATCACGATTTTCCTTCCTAATTCCTTCTTCACAATACATCGTTGTGTTACCATAATCTATTTTTAACACAAAACAATTAAAACAATTAACAAAATTTACTTGGGAGAAAATATTCATTGTTGCTGAAAATAAGGAGGGTACAACTATGCTTCCTTGGCACGTTTACCAAGGAAATGCCATAGCTTCATGTCTGTTCCAGGCCTTGGCGGTGAAGCTATGAGTTGTTTGGCGATTAACAACTGTTCGTGTCTGTTCCAGGCCTTGGCGGCGACAGTTGATCCGATGACTTTGCGGAAGTTATTCATGTCTGTTCCAGGCCTTGGCGGTGAGTGCTTCCCTTGGTATGTATATATTGCCTTGGAGATGCCATAGCTTCATGTCTGTTCCAGGCCTTGGCGGTGAAGTTATGAGTCAAAGGATATCCAAGTCATCTCTTGGTAGTCGTCAGCCTCTTTTTCCCCTTTATTGTAGTCAGTTAAGTGATAATACAAGAAAAGAATAAAATGTGAGTTTTCTTGTTATTTTAAAATAATTTTATTTATTACGTAAAGAGTGTTTGCTTTATCTCTCCGCATTATCCATTCTTTAGATACAGAGGAAAACCACGGAGAGAAAATGTTTAAACAGGACAGTCAGTATATCGAGTTTTGGACACATTAATTGTCTATTTAGTGATTTTTATTTTGCGTTATTTCGATATATTAATATTAGGACGAATCTAATTGTAACAACATGTTACATGTTACAACCTCGAAAACAAGGTCGGATTGGCTCAGACAACACTTAACTCTACATCGTGCAATACCGGTTTAAAAATGGCATTTTTTTAACATAAATGCCAAGATCTTCTTCCAAATACTTTAGTTTCAACTCAGTTTTGTTTTGCCGAAGGTAGTGATTTCAATTCTGGCAATTAGAATTGAAATTTTGGCTGGACACGACGTGGTAAACTTCTTATTTTCGGTTTGATTTTATATTTCTTTTGACAAGGGCTACTTCTTTCTTCTTCTCTTGCACGGGTTTTGCTTTGCTGAGTCGGGAAATCGGCATTAGACTTGAAATTGGGTCTGGACACGACATTGGTAAGTTGTTCTTTCTTCTTTTTTTTAGATTGACTTTACGTTTCTTTTGATAAGCACTAACACTTTCTTCTCTTGCACAGGTCTTCTTCTTTGAGTTCGGAATTGGACTTGGAATTAGGACTAGACATGACGTGGTAAGTAGTTCTTCTTGTTTTCGTTTTGACTTTATACTTCTTTTGACAAGAACTAACACTTTCTTTTTCTCTTGCACAGGTCTTGTTTCGGAATTGGGGCTGGACACGACGTGTTAGGTAGTTCTTGTTTTCGTTTTGGCTTTGTGTTTCAACAAAAACTAACTCTTCTTCTCTTGCACAGATCTTGCTTCATCTAGTCTGGAAATCGGCATAGACTTGGAATTGGGGTTAGATACGACGTGGTAAGTACTTGTTGTGCTTCTTCCATTTGTATTTCGTTAGCATAGTTACTAACGCCTTTCTTTGCTCATGTAGAACGGAGAATCAGAATGAAACGTGGACTAAGACACTGAAGAAGTGTTATTTTATTTGTTTTTATTGTTTAGCTTCTTCTGTTGACGCTTTATTTTCTTGCAGGTTTCTACAATGCGACGTTGGTCATGAGTCTGGACACAAAATCAGGGCATGGAACGCGGGATAAGTATTTCGTTTAGTTGGGTTCCATTTCTTGGGAGATCGTGAAATGGGTGTAACGAAAATATTATTCATTTGTGTTTATTTAAGCCCTTGCTAATTCATCTATTTTCTAGGGTCTTTCATATCGCGGCGAGGGGTTAAAAGGTATATTGTCTTATAAGGTCACATTTTCGTCACAATAGCGTAATGATATGGTAATCAACTGACATGAGTTCTCGGATTATAAAATTTAGTTAATCAGGCGAAGCTGCATCCAAAGATCGATTATAGGTTGCGAACATTAGGCAGCAGTTTTTTTTTCCTTTAATTATTATCGTTATGTAAAAAAGTCTTAATTTTTATTAGATTTACTCGTATTTTTGTGCATATTTGTAAAATTTAATATATTTTAAGGAATTTAAAGATATCACAGTTTACAATACATATAAAAATGATTTTATTAATGTTATAGTAAGACTACAGCATAGCGGGCGGCTTTCATTGTAATTGGCTGATTTTTGTAGATCATCCCGTGATATGCAAAAGTATCATTTGTTGATCGAAATGGCTAATCGAAATTATTCGCAATACAAATTTACATGAAACTTTATCGGATATAATTATTTATTAATACCATATAAAATCAATTGGCATTAATACATGATGCATTCTAGCAATATCAAAAATTGTGTCGCTAAGGAGTTTGAATTTTATTAATATCGTAGTTAAAATATATCTTAATACCTGATTAGAAGCGGTCCTAGCAAGAATAATACTTATGAAATTTTTGTTCAAATTTGAGAGCAAAAGATATAACCCCACAGAACAACCTTTGAATATCATTTAACGATAAATTAATAATAGAGAAAAAGTATCATATATATATTTAACAAGATAAAAGAAAAATTTTTTTATAACGCATTAGCTTGATCTTACCATCACTTTCTTTGCATTTTGATAACGAAACACAAAAAACATCTTCAACTAGGAGGAAACCTATAAAACTTTATCCTTAACTTACTTTTTTTTTTAATCTAGTTAAATGATTAAAATTACATACCATATCTGTAATAGGATGAATGGTTCTTGTCTATCCTCAGTTTTAACCGCTGATGACATCGCGATAAAGAAATCAGACAATCCTTGACAAAATTCTTTGAAACTATCTTTTTATTTTGGGATCAAAATTTAAAATAGTAGCATCGTTTATCACATTGGTAATGAGGCAATATATCTGACGCGTCTTATAATGTCAAGAGAATATATCAATTATAAATAGTCATTTAAGCAATAATCCTATAATAAGTAAATATCAAAAACTCAACCTGTTCCTTGCAATTTTATAGTTAATTGATTCATATTATGTGCAAGAAGTGAACACATTTTGCGAATTTTGAATTTTTCACAGGACTATTATAAACAGGTAACCAAATGTTAATATTGTGAACACAGAATAAAAATCATTATTTGATAAAAAGAATTACCTTAAAATCCGTTAAATATAACCTGAGCATCTCAAAATATTTACATTCAAGTAAATAGGTTCGAGTATGCTTTTCATTTTCAGACTTGCTAAACAACATGTGTGTAAGTATATGAGCAAAATATGTCCATTATATAATTGTAATAACAAGCATCAATTCAAAAGTACTCACTTTAATTTACTGATAAAATACAATATACATTCAATATAAGCTTGTAAAAATACATCAAAATTGAACGGTCGATTGTCATAGTTGATAGCCTTTCCAAAAATTTGAAAGGAATTCATCATAAAACTTTGGATCGGTATTTATAAGCTGATTTATATAATTAAACCCATATTTCTATTAACTTTGAATGATTAAATATAAATATGACAGGAGTGAAAAAGAATTTCTACCTCTTGTGGAAGAAGGCCAACTAAAATCAAAATACTCGGGTATGAGATAGATACCTATCCATTACACGCCAATCTAAAGAAATTATACAATTTCGGAAGCATTGGCCAGTAACCAAGACTCAGGAAAACCTTCATTTAAAATAAGATAAAATTGGTAAAATTCATTATTAACTGTCATTAAGGCCTGTTTAAATTATTCAGATATTTAAGTAAAAAAAAGCTGCTCACTATTAGTGAATACTAATAAAGAGTCCATAAATCGCTACAAACGGAGATTTCTTTGTCATTAAATATCTTCATTAAATATGTTGAGTTAAAAACATCTAAACGATCTTCAATCTTTTTCTTTTAAATATAAATAAAATAGAGATTAAAATCTGTAATTACAAGAGATATGTATCGAAATAAAAATAATAAGTTTTTTGGATCTCTTGCAGTTAATAATATTACTCTTATGATCAATTAGTTGATAATACATTTTATTAGTAGACTGCAAGAGATTCTGTAAAAAGCTCTTACTTGGCTACTTGTTAGTCAAAACCTTTATCAAATTATAAGCGGATTTTTATTGGTAAAATTTAATCAAGTTTTTGGATTATCAAATAAATCATCATATTGTTTTGCAGCTTTTAATAATGAATTTTCATTTAACTGGTCTACAATTAAAGAAGAACGTAAAAATTTTAAAAGTAAATAAATTTTTAAAATATGTGCTGTAGAACAATAAATTACAAATACTTATAAGGACCTATCAGGTACGCAAGAGAGTAATATGAACTTGCAACAACTCTATCATATTTTGAATTCATATCTTCTATTGATGTAAATCTAGGATCACCTTTAATTAATATCATGTTGGTGAGAGATACGTTAATAATAGAACCATAACAGATAATAGGTTTGTCAACCAAATTAGAAAAAGCATTAATATTATACATCAAGAAGGTATTTATTATTTGATTAATAAATTTTTTGATGTTTAATATCTGTTGGCAAAACCTATATTAATAAATGAAAAATATCCGGAATAAAATAATAATAATTCATACTTAATGTCTCAGGCGTTTTGTGAATTATTATCTCTGAAATATAGGATAAAATTTCCATTTGACAGAATACTAAAATTTTGACTCATTTTCTGGCTGGAAAAACCATCTTCATTATAAAATATCATTTATTTTCTTAAATTAATTTGATTCTATATTTTATAAAAGTTAATAATATATATATATATACTGTATATATAATTGACACTGACTTGAAAAGATTCAGTCGCCACTCGAGCAACATCTTTGTTTTGATCAAATAACGATATTATTCATACAACTATCTCCTTGAGATTTGATGCAAGCCGCTTTTTAACTTTAGAAACTATTAATAAATGGCGATTAAATGTTGCAAGGTGTATGCACCGATCTACCTCAATTGCTAGCTTGACAAAAAATTTGGCCTACTAAAAAAATCATTATTTTATATAAGAATTCTGATATTAAATTAATTGTACTTACCATACACCTGTTATACTAACAGGATCAGTTTTATTATCCTGTTTTTCTCTCAGATATGTTTCAAGCTCCTCTAGAGCTTTTAATTTTGTAGTGGGATCACGTTGACATCGGTCGCTTTATCAGTTGAAAAAGATTTTGACGTCGAAAAAGGAGATCCACTCAAAAATTGAGTGAAATCTCCCAAATTCAAGGTGGGAACCTGAGATCCACCTGTTGCAATAATTTCAGCGGTTCGGCTAAAATATAATAAAAATTATTTTTTTTGTTTTTTTATACATTTCTGTATATTTCCTTTAATACAAGGTTGATTTTTTGGTTTTCCTATATTGAATATCGTTTCAAAGAAAATAAAATTGACACTATATGCCAATGCTATCTCGATATTTATGGATATTTTATACTTGATTGATAATCAGCAAAAAAATAGAATTTGTATGTAATCGGTGTTTTGGGGAAACTCCAGTAATTATATGACAATTTGTAGTTTTTTTATCTTGTGTATAATGATATCAGATATCGATATAAATGGAATGAACTCTGCCAATAACGAGAAATATATTATTAACATATACTGGTAACTCCTCCCAAAAAAAAGTATTATTTTTTTAATATTTTCTTATAACGATAAGCTAGAGTTGTTTGCCTTAAACTATTTGAATTTTACTATATAATGATAAAAATCAAACTATTTAATTTTCTAATTCAGCAAATGGTTAAAATTTCTAATTATATTCAATATTAATTAATTTCGTTATATAAATATCGGTAATAGGTCTTAAACTTTTATTATTTATGTATTATCGATAAATGGTTAATTTTACAAATTATTTATATAATCAAAATTTCGAATTACTTTTTATTCAATGAAAAAACTTAGATTAAAATTCTTTATTGTTCAAATAAACTTTAAAAATTTACATAATATACAAAAAATCATATAAACCTGACAAAAATATAATCTTTGAAATCAAATTATTTAATAAATAAAGAATGGAAATAAACTTTTTAATCTAGTATATAAAAAAAAAAAAGTAGATAAGTAATTGAAATGATCTATAATACTATAATACCTCAGAATAGCATATGTCAACAGTCAGTAGTAGAGAAATATCCAAACAAAAAATATTTTAATATTCTTAAATATGAATTCTTCACTTCTCAGTAAACACATGTATTCACTGAGTATTGTTACTAACAAGTATATCCCAGAAGCCTAAAAGCAATATCTGAAGGTTTTTGTTGTTATAATAATATGAGATCAATTATTTATAAATAAAAAAAATATTCATCTATTAAATAAAATCAATATTTGAAGCAACCTAAGTTCAAGATAAGATAATATAAAAAATTTGTTGACTTTAAATAGTCTTATCATCATCATCTATAAATTCATTATTTAAAAAAAAACTTTAAAAGTTTATTTGTATATCTAGATTATAAAACTGATAAAAATATAATTATTCCTAAATAAGTCTTATAATATTTTTCAAAATTATTTAGTAATTGCTATTAATAAATTGAAAAATAAAAATAAATCTTACTTTTTCTTATAATTTCAGTGTAGATAAAGAACAAAATATTTAAAGATCTAGTTATCTAGTATAGTAGTTAAATTGTCAAACTGCTATATAATAGATCTGAAGTTCAAATCCTACTATTGATGAATTTGAATAATTTCTCAGACCTTGTGATATGTTATGGTAAACCTTATTCATTTCTGAGAGTATACTCCTATAAATTAAGTTGTACTAAAACAATTAGAACTTGAAAGTATAATATAATATATACAGGCAGAAGATTTGTATGATAGAAATTCTGAGTCAGTGAAGTAATATGGTCTTCTAACAGAACTATATTAGCTAAAGTCTAATCAAGGAAGAAAACTCAGTTTAATAAAGATAGAAGGTTTTGAAGTCTTCAGACAAAAAGTAATTAGAACTAGCTAGATACTAGAAAAGAACTAGGTTAACTGACTAGTACAGTTTAGGATTTTGCTAAATTTGGAATTAGGATTCTAGAATAATCTACATGTAGATCTGTAATTTAATTAGCTATATCATATCTTTTTTTTCTCTTCTTCTTGAAAGGTTTTATTATATTATTTGCTACTAAACAATATACTTTAAAGTATCTATTTTTAAATATAGGGTTGGGTCCCATGTCTTAGTTGGTTAAGTCCTCAACCCTCCACAGACAAAGTTAATGGTTCGAGTTTAATTGGAGGCATTTGCTTCTGTAATTCTTATGAAAACCATTAATCGAATACGAAGCTTTGTGGTAAAACCCATATGAAGTACAAGATTCTAGAAAAGGAATTCCTAGAAGGAGATCGATATTATAGAGCAAGTTGGCATTATGTGTGATAGTTGGTATCACAGAAGGTTCTATTACATGAGTGTTACACGAATAAGTCCTCGAAGGGTTAGGCAGCACCAACATCTCTAGCAGTTGGGAACTTGCTTGGGAGAGTGATATAAAAGTAATACGAGCTGGAGTAATAAGCAAAGCGGTGAATATAATAGAAATTTGTAGAAAAGGATTGTCCTAACTAGATGTGAAACACCTCTGATATATGTGAATGCTAGAATTGGAAGGTTCCAGTTCTATAGAGAATTAGCTACTATCTAGGATATGTGTAAAAACCTAAATTAGCAAGAAGTACTGAGCTGGTAGTGTAATCACACATATAAGTACAAAGGCATACTAACATTAAATACCAGCTAATGCAGACGCAAGTTAGAAGTAGTACTACATATTATAAACCTAGTTGAAAGCAACTTTGGTTGCGAAACATAGCCTGTACTCTACCAATACACAGGAGTATCTAGTATTGATAGTTGCATAGCATATGAATACAGTTGTACATCATAAAACACTAGCATCTTCATGATCTGCAGAAGATGTAACAAGTTGTAGGCCTAGGCTTTAGTCATGAATATACTAACTAGAAGATATGGAGTTAGGCTGTGAAACTAGTTAGACACCAAACAGGAAGTTATCTATGAGAATTGATGATGCCCCATATAGTCTATAGTACCTGTTTGGTAGTATCTCTGTGTAAGTATGGGTGATGTGGAGAATATAGTGATGGTGATCTAATAATAATAGTCGTAGCATAAACTTTAATCAGAAAACTATAATAGGGTAGTATAAATTAGGTCAAGAATATTTCGTGAATAAATTAGTCCTAAGGTTTATATATAGATTTGAATACGTTGTAATCGTTACTTGTAACAAATTATAATAAATTTAATAAAGTATATGGCCAAAGAGGTTACTTGTAAAAAAAAAAAAAAAAAAAAAAATCTATTTTTAAATATCTTAATTAATCTTGTTTTATAAGCTAATTTAAAAAAAAGTAAATGTTACCTTAAGATCAGGGATTTCTTAATATATTTTTATTTTTTTAAAATAAAGAATCTTGTTAACTAAACAATTTAACTAATTTTTTTTGTAATGCCAAATAACAAAAAACAAAAAGCACAAAATTTAAGTTATATTTTTAAAAATTTAGTAGAAATATATAAAGAAGTTAGATTAAGCTCTTGCAATATAGAAAAATAAAAATAGTGAAATACAATTAGTCTGAAAGTAGCTAACCAACTTTTACTTTTTTAAACTTATTTTTGAACTTGCTAATTATACTTTAGAATCTCAATTGCTTTGTCAGATATATTATAATTAAATTATTTCATCTAACTAATTTTATAAGTATCTTTTAGGTTCTATTCAAGAAGATCAATTTGATACTAACACAGATATCTAAACTCCTAGTTATACTAATCTAGCAGATGAGCTTAATAGGACAAAAAAGAATTTAGAAAGTATTTAACAAGAAAATATAGAACTTTGTCATAGAATTGAATGATTGTAGTAATCTTTAAAAGAACAATAGCATGAAGTAGAAACATTAAAAGAAAAATTATAATACTCTAGTAAAAAAGTAAATATGTATTGACATTTATATAAAGATCAGTGCAAAAAAAATAAAGTTCTTATTAAACAATAGAATTTAAGATTTTCTAGTTAGCAAAAACGTATTAATATAATTATTAAGATAGTAAAAATAGAATATAAGATATTATTTAATAATATTAGTAAGTCTATTCTAAATTTTGTATATTGGTTTTTTATATTTATAATTTTTTTTTTTTTTAATTTAGATGAACTTGCTCATCATTTTATTAAGAAAAAGCTAATATAAGCTACAAAGTAAAATACTATGCTATTTATAACAAATACTTTTCTAAAACTATTCTGAACTCACTTAGCTAACTTTAGGTACCTAAGTGTTATTAGCTGCAATAACTGTTTCTTTCATAAAAGCTTATATCTGTATATACAAA